GTGTAATCCAATACAGTAGGTCTGATCTTGTCAAGTATATAAGACACTCCCGAAGTTGTCAGGCAGTCTGACAACTTCAGGAGCTCAGGAAGAGCCCCCTGAGCTTCCTTGCTTCTGGTGCTGTGTGACTGTAAGGCCAACAAGACAATGGCATCCAATCAAGTATCACCAACAAGGCACCAACAATACTGTCAACAAAATAAGGCATTTCTTTCAGCTCCAAAGACTGTGCAAGTCAGTGCAGTGGCCCTCGCCTATGATCCCAGCACTTTGGGAGGCTGAGGAAGGAAGAGTCCTTGAGGCCAGCCAAAACAAAACAATTAGACCCCATCTCCACAAAAATAAAAAATAAATAGTCAGGCATGGTGGCACACACCTGTAGTTCCAGCTACTGCAGAGGCTGAGGCAGGAAGATCATTTGAGCCTAGGAGTTCAAGACTGCAATGAGCTATGATCAGGTCACTGCACTCCAACCTGGGTGACAGAGTGAAACCCTGTCTCTAGAAAAACAACAAAAACTGAGAGGTGCTATTAAATGAACCTCCCAATTAGCTATTTGAAAAACAACTGCTTATTTGAATTAATTAATTTTGTTTCTTTGTTTTAAATAAATTTGTAAGTAAATCTAGCTATCAGGAAAAAAAAGTCCTTTTGGATGTCATTAATAGTTGAGTCATTAATACCTGACTTAGAGAAAATGAAACACTTTTCTCTTAGTTTCTTCAATGTGGTGGGTACAATTCTAAGTTCATAAATACAGTTTGCAAGACATATGACTTTTATTTTCTTAAATCGTGTAATTACCAAACCTGAGAGTTTGCCTTGCGGAGGTTGATGGGAAAATTCGCTTCAGGTCATTTGAGGTTCAGGCCCCACAGCCTTGTCAAAGGTTATGCCAAGGTTCCATGTTTGTTCCAGAGAGACCCCTCCGGTCATGGGTCTTTATGTCCATGCTTGGAATCATGGAGATGGCTGTTGTCTTAGCTCCCATGGATCCTTAAATCGTGGATTACCACTCTTTTGGTGTCTTGAAATAGATGTGGGCATTCTTTGTGGTGTGGGGTCTGAGATGTGCACGTCAGAGACTTCAAAGTCCTCCCCTCTTCCCCAGGACACCTCCACAGAATAGGGAGAAGGCACCTGTTTCACCAAGAACCCAGGCTCCTTTATCTTCAATTCTGCTCAGAAGTTAGCCTTTCCTCCTCAGGTCCAATTTTATTAATCATCAAGTCAAATTGCACTCAAGGCCAAAGAAGTAAATTGCTGAATGAAGTGAGCAGGCAGAGACCATCCATGATTCTTATGAAACGAACATTGTCTTAGCCAGTGTGGGGTGAGCCAATCCCCTTGTGACAGGGATATGGGCCCAGTGTGGCCCAAGTGCTGATGTCTGTAAGAGATTTCAGAAGCAGATGGTTGTGTGAAATTCACCAATTCTTAGTGCTGACAAGTCTCATTTTAAAATAAATTAATTGATTGGCCTTTAAGACTATCTGCAAACTGTCCAGGTCTAAAATGACCTCTGCCCAGGATGCTTAGGTTTATCTTTTCAATTAAGTGGAATTTTTTATTGTTTGTTTGTTTTGGAAATGAAAGAGAGAGGAAAGTATCTTCCCAACAGATTCTGCCTTCTACTCAATGACAAATCCCCTCCACTACAAATTCATTCCTGTCCCTCAGGACAACATGCCAGGGCCTGAAACTGTTGTGTAGAGGAATAGATAAGGGAGAAATATGAGAAAAACAGCTCTGAAAGCAGAAATGTATCTGCCACACTCTCCATGATAGAGCACCACCCCTCTCTGATTCAGAAATGCAACTTTGGAGTAACATTTCATTTCTTTATTTTTATCTGGAGTTGTATTTTACTTCCCAGCTAAGCTTCTGCTGGGTCTCTCTTAGGTCTCCGTCTTCTTACTTTTTGCCATTCTTCCCTACCTTATACCCCCAATGGCCTCATACTGCACCGATTCCTTACTGAATTGAAGTCTTGGAATTGAAACTGCTCAGAAAGAGAGGTTTGGGTCTACAATCCAAGTGTGAGTTCATGGTGGTTGCCTTGAGGGCTTGGACGTTTTCTATTTTTCCTCATGGCAGTCTCAGTGCAGGTCCTTTTTGTTGAATGAATAGATTTTGCCACTGTTCAGGGCAACATGATTGGAGTGTCAGGATGAGCCCACAGAGGTTCATGATTTCGTGCAGCCCTTCAGACACATCTTTACAAAGTTCAACTCCTTCAGTTCATATAAATCCAATACCATTTTAGGTGCTTTACATGTACTTTTCCTAAAATGCAGCTGGGGTTATGACTGCCTCCCTATAGCAGCTGGACTCTAATTGCTGCACGTAAACAAACATCATCTGGAACAGGGCCACCTTATAACACTGGATGCTATTCATTTTCAAGACTCCCAAGGTCATTTATCACTAATGGCAGGAGTCTGTAGCTGGCTGGAGTTGGCAGAGTCATGTTTCTATGCAAGCTGCATTTCAAACTGGCTGCAAGCATCTGGGAAAATGAACAGTCTGAACTTATGGCTCTCAAACCTCTATCCAATTTCCATGACCTTGTCTTTGCATGATGTCTTCATATGTCACAGTATCATCCATTTGTTGTCTACATAACCAATTAACATGCAGTTGTGTATGAGTGTCATATGCTGCTATTTACATTCTTGTATGTCTATATCATATATCTTTAGGATATAAGTGGGATCCCTTTGGGAAGCTTAAAGTATTAAAAGCTATAAGCACAGAAATTTGACATTGTTGAATGTGTAGAAATTAATAATCACTGAAGCATAGGAAGGGTCATCTCATTCTAACCCTTGAGTTGACAGTGAAGGAGGGGCAGAGTGTCAGTGGAGCCCAAAGAGGAAAATGATCCGTTTGTTGGGCCCCTGAATGTCTTCCTTTGCAGAAGTCAGGGATAACAAATTCACACACTCAGCCCTACATACACATACTCAGTAATATGATTTGTTTTTCAAATTAGAATACATTTAAGGAAAATTATGGCACAGAATTCAGTATTCTGGTGGCTCAGTCTTAACCTGGACCCACTCTAATCTCATATCTAAATTTTTATGATTTACAGTTTTATTTTCTATGCTTCTTAGACCAAAACCTCTTAGTGTGTATGCTATAGCTCATAACAAGTTACTGATTGATTTCCCTTTGTAGCTCTAGATGATATTTTCTGGGGATTTGTACCATGTACCAGATAGCATTTTAAGTACTTTACACGTACTTCCTTCCGTGAGCCTCCAAAAACCCTGTGAGTTATGTAAGAAGGCTTTATTTTATATTTGAAAATCTTGAGGCAGAAATAGGTTGTGTTTTTTCCAAGGTCTCACAGCCAGTGAGACCCAAGATTCAAAGCCAGCAGCCTAACTTCAGACCCCATTCTTATAAACACCCAATTTATATCTCTGACTTGATTTATGGAAATATTACTAGTTGTTGCATCAACAAACAAAATTGGACACTGTCTAGTTCCCATTGCTGGAGTCAGGGTACAGATGGCTAGGAGGTCAGTCATTGAGGGCTTGGCCGAGGGAGGTTCCAAGGCTGGTCCTCAGTTAAAGGGAATGTTTTTTTAGTGAAATGAAAGAAAAGCAAGATCTGACTGTTGATATGGATCACATTCCAAGACAGAGGATAGCAGTTGGTGTTAGAGGAAATGCTCCTTCTATTAGATCTGATGAGTTAGTGCAATCAATAAGCACAAGTTTAGAAAGGGGATTTGATCCAGCACTTTGAGAGACCAAGACAAGAGGATTGCTCGAGGCCATGAATTTAACACTAGCCTGGGCAACATAGCAAGACCCTGTCTCTATTAAAAAGCAAAGCAAAGCAAAGCACAGCACAGCACAGCAAAGCAAGCAAGCAAGGAAGGAAGGAAGGAAAGGATTTGAATTAATGACAAAGAGAAGTAATGAAAACAGCATTAAGAAGGTGGCTGGAATGTGACTTACAAGGATGAGGTGGACTGACCTCAGGAAAACACAGCAGGTAAGTAGACAGACATAGCATGATTAGCAAATAATTTTGCTGGTAAGAAGCAAGGCCTTTACAAACTGCTGGTTTCCAGAGCTAACTCCAAGCCTTTTTGTCTGTAAGGAGAGGAGCAGAAACAAAGTAGGCAGGGCTAAGAGACCATAAAAAGATTTGGTCAGACAAAAGCCAGACTTAGAATCTTCATGCGTCTGCTTTTTCTCTAGGGTACATTTATCCTGGCTCTTTCCCATCCTCTAGAGAGGCTTCATCTAATGCCCAATCTATGGTAGTTATCTCTATTTCTCTTTTTCATGGCAACACTGCTTCTTTTTCCTTGTATAAGGTTACACAAAATGTGTACTGTATACTCATTTATACCCATTTATTTGTTTATTGGTTGTCTCCCTGTCTCAAATACAAAATGTATGAAGTTAGCAATCATTTCTGATTTTTTCAAATTGTGCGCTCAAGGATTGTTCATAAGTAAGCACTGAATAAATGAATGAATGAACAGGGCTCAGGCACAGGGATAAAAGAGAAGAGCCATGTAATGTACCAAGCCTAGAGCTAGGGAGGAGACTTTGGAGGGAAAAAATGATCACTTATGTTGAATGACCACCTGACTATTATTTAGCATTGATGAACTATCTAAGATCCCTAGTACTAAATGTTATAAGCATGTAATGAAGACAGAAGACAGACACGTCTGCAATGGCCCTTTCACAATGTCATCACTGGGAGGAGCTTCATCCTCAATATAAATTTTTGGAAGTTCTGCTTACTAGTGTGCTAATATAGAATATTCACCAGAATGGATGTATATTGAATTAGTATTTTCAGTAAACCACTCCTGAAAGTACAGAATAAAAAGTTTAATGGGGTAACTTATTCCACTTAAGTGTATATGACATGAAGTGTAAGAGTATTACATTCTTTCTATCTGTTCCTCCAACCTAGCATACACACTAAAGCTTCTCCTCCTCCTCTCCTCTCTTCCCCAGAGGCTCTGATCTTTTCATTACAGAAAAATCACTCTCACAGGGTTCTGCTGAGGGTGTGTGATTACAGATGATGCCAAGGAGCACTCCGGGAACCTCTAATGGGGAGGACACAAGACAAAGCAAATGGACAGTCATTTTTCCAAGAGATGGGCCCCCTGCCATGAGGAAGCTCTTCAGGCTGCGTCTCCTTTTTGTGTTTTTATTTGATCTTTAATAAAGAATATTAAGACTGAGCTGACTGCCTGCTACAACCCTCTGAACACAGACTTACATTTGAGAGACTGAAGGGAGGAAATGACAGCCCCGTGGTAAGCGGGGAGCTAAGAAAACAATATGCAATGAACTTCTCACCTCTGCTCCCTGTCTTGAGGCACAGTGAAAACAGGATGCCTCCTATTAAAAGGTTGTCTGCTATATGGGGTCTTGTTAGAGGTCTGGGACTACAATTGGCAGGCCTGTGCCGATCTTATTTATCTATTATTGATGCTTGCTTTCACCTTCTTCCTTCTCAGAAAGTTTCTGCTTTTGCCAATCCGAAATCTCAACCTCTTTTTATTAAACAAGGGCCAGAGTTAAAAACAAAGGTTATGTCAACAGAAATAAGCAGCATAAGGCTTTATAGTTATTCTGCCACTTCTTAACCTCGCATTTGCAAGGATCGCTTATCTACTTTCAGATTCGAATGAGACAATCGTGCGATAACTTCTGAACTTTATTATTTGTACTTCAGTTCTTGTTTGTAGAACTACATCTAAGAGGTAGGAAGGATGGTGATCAAAGTGTTTAATAGTCATGGAGATGCAGTCATGTCACCTGACCTTAATTCCAGGCCCATTCCCCTTAAAAAGAACTGTTGATTTCAAGAATTAGTGGCCAAACTTTGGAAGACATTTTCCCGGGGAAGGAGCTTGCCTCTTAAGCCCTTGCCCAGACTTCCCCAAGTCTCTTCTAGTATGCATGTCACTTGATAACTTATACTTGCAATTTCATTAGTGAAAACGTCCTTACATTGTTCTGGTGGACAGTTTATCCACCAAAAGCTGCCCTTAGATATCCAAAGTTTAGTGCAAATGAATTCCTAATGCTTTGCAAAAAGCAGATCTTAGAGAGAACAGAAAGGAGAGGGTCTCTGGACACTGACCACCATAGAAAGTTAAAGAGGACAACAGCCCATGGAAAAAAACAAAAAGATACGAGAGGGCTACAGACCTGAGAGGCTGTCACTGCCAATTAGGATGTTGGCTTAATTTACACTTTACCAAAGATCCTCTCTTCCTTTATTCTAAAATTCGAATTGGGCAATAAGCCCCCAGAACTGTCTGTTCGGTGCTGCTGGTCGAAAAATATATACAGATACTATCTCGTGGCTGATGCAGCCTAGCCTGGAGCCAGAGCAAGAAGGAGACAGTGAAGGGCACAGCAGGAGCTCCATTATAGGATGATATATAGTATGACATTTAGATTTTGTTTTTAAATAGATTTACAATGCTCCCTGTAGTTTTTTTTTTTTTTTCCTTCTCACTTGCACTTTTTCTTTCTTTTTTTCCAAATATGCTTACACATTCTCCTCCAGACTGGGTCTTTCTAATGTTAAGGTGAGTGCACAAATACTGGATTTTTTTTTTTTTTTTTTTTTTTACAGTTCATGATGAATGGAGTTCAGGATCAGATGCCAGAGAAAAAAATGACCAGATAATCAGGTTTTGAATTGGTGCAGTCTCCCTGCGACACTGCTCAGCCTATCTCCTGTTTCACATTTCAGTGTCTGTAACAGCCCCCACCTGTTTCCCAGTGCCAGGCCTGCCTTCTCAAGATAGCTGAGCCTGGAAGATTGTACCCACTAGAAGGATAAGGAAGTTCATTCCTCAGCCAAGTGTTGGTGCAAACTCCTGCTATAAAATAACACTGGGAAAATGACTGTCAAGTCATGGATCAGTTTTGTAAAAAAAATGATTTAATAGGTGAAGAAAAAAATGCAATTTTCTGATGGAAATGTTTGGGAAAGAACAGTAGATACAGAGCCACTTTCTTAGGTTGGCTACTAATTAGACACCTCATCCTGGGGTAGCTGCTTATTGTGGGAGATGATTAGGCTTATGTGCTCTCATGAAGGAGTAGATTAAGACAAATATGCTCTAATGTCTCCTCCTCTTTTGTGTATGTGATTTTGTGAGCTTTCATGGCAGAATAGCATTCATTTCTGTTGGTTCTACCAACATCCCAGAACTTGACACCTATTCTCCCTCCTCTTCCTACATGTCTGTGGTGGGATAAATTCTCTGCAACCCACTAGCTCGTGCAGTTAGAAGTCACTACCCGTAATGAAATACTATGAAAAGAAAAGCTATTAACAACTTAAAGAACTACTTATTAAGATATTTGGACAGTATTATGATTCTTAAGAATGGTTCTGAGGAACGACTTTTGAGACAGTGATAAATGGTGGAGTAGTTATTTCTGATCGGTTACCATTTCATATTAAATCACAAATGCTCTACTTCCTGCAAAAGTCAGTCTTACTTAAGTGACTCAACTACATTTAGCCCATGTCTCCATTTAGACTAGTCTTCATTTCTTCATTTGTTCTTTTGAATACTTTTATTGATTACGGAGGCCCGGTGTTCCTGTCCATGTGCTTGGTACCTGGTAGGGAAGATACAATCCCTGTCCTTAAGCAAACTGCATGTTTTCAACAACAGCCTCTTCTGAAATTGAAGGAGAGATGCATTGTTTTCCTGTTTGGCCCAGGTACTTTTCTGAATTATCAGGAAAAAAATGATGGAGGATGGGGACAGTATTTTTCTGAAGGAAAAGAAAACAGAAAGAGGATCTAAATCAATAAAACGTTTTTAATCAAAGGAGGAGATTTACTGGTGGCTTACCCTGTCCCTTAACTTGTGAATTAACAAGGGTGGCATTGATCAAAGGTCTAACTGGGACATTGTCTTTGGCTCTTTGCAAAACAGCCTGATCAACTACTGCTTTGTGTGGTGTTATCTGAGTTCACAGAAAAGAGAAATCCGAATTAGCCTTGGTTGCCTTGCGAAGTTTCTTGGTGAAGTGGGACTTGAAGTGGTCAGACCAACACTAGGCAAAAAGGAAGTCATTCCAAGAGGACTAGTGGCATTAGTGAATGCAGGATTAAATGTTGCACATAGATGAGATGAATAGTATGGCCAATGCTCTTTGTGTCTTGGGAGCAGAAAACTCAAACCTCTGCCGAAATTAGGAATGTCATATAAATGATTTAAGAGCAGAGGGTGAGAAATAGAGGCTGATTTAGCATTCGCAGAATTTCGGTCCAGCATAGAGAGAGAGTTCTATTAGTCAAGAGAATTTAGAAAGCTGCCTTTGTCTTTATGCATGTGTAATTTTAACTGTTGACAGTTTAGTTATGTTTTTAAATCCATGTGGTGCAAATGTAATGCATCTGTTGGGTAGATCTTTTCTAAACACTACCAGCTTGCAACCTCTTCACAAAAGGATTAAGATTGGATTGGCGGACTTAGCAGTCTTTTCAAGAGATCTTTGAAGAGTAGGAGACAACATTGTGCTCATAGTTACCGATACTTGACCACACACTTAAAAATTTAAGTGGATAGTAAGTGAAATAACTCAGGAACAGGAAGTCAAATACCTCATGTTCTCACTTTTAACTGGGAGCTAAACAATGTGTACACATGGACAAACAATATGTAATAATAGATACTGGACACTCTAAAAGATGGGAGGGTGAGTGGAGGTGAGGAATGAGAAGTTAACTATTGGGCACATGTACACTGTCTGGGTGATGAGTACACTAAAAGTTCAGACTTCACCACCGTGCAATATATCCATGTAACAAAACTGTACTTGCACTCCCTAAATATATCAAAATTTTAAAAACTAGAAAAATAGCCTTTAGAATAAAAAAATTAAGAGCATAGGTCTCATGTTATCTGTGCTTACCACAATTAAAAAAAAATAAGTATGAAATCAATTAGCATGATGCTACCGGAATCTGTTTATACAATGATAAAACAGAACAAAAATGAAAACTCCAAGAAAAAAAGGGTTCTATTGAGAATGCATCTTATATGTACTATGTGTGCTATTTCTGAAAGTCACAGTGATTAGCTTTGAGGTTGAAAACAAAGACAGTAAGAAGCCTATTTGGATATGTTAAAGACTTTCTCTCTCTTTACTTTTCTAAACAGTATCAAGTGATTTTATGGTATCAATAACTCTTCTTTATGCATTTCTGAACAGTGACCTCCTGGGAAAGATAACATTTATTTGGGTGAAGTTGTAAAATGCATAATTTGTATCTGAAAACCAAAACTTGACAGCAAGTTGTTTGTATCTTTTTTTTTTAAATCAAACATTTCTGAACTAAAAAAAAAGAACATTTCTCATTTTTATAGCTAGAAACAGTATCGCATAATGAGGATAGTGCTTTTCCATTGTGAAAAATGATGCCAAGAATGACTAGAAAAGATAAATTCTCCACACACACTCACAAAATGTTACAACTTTCATGTCATGTATATCTATTCTTCTAAGATGGCCTTAAGCTACAAGGAAATATGTGTTTTTCCCAGAGGATAGGGTCCAGACTACTTAAGTTAAATATCAGATTTTGCTTTCTACAAGGTCCTGCAGTCATGAGTATTCACCGTAATGCCATGAAATCACACCATAAATCTATGTAACCACTTCCTTTTACATTCATTATTTGAGACCAGAAGCAACTCTCAGAATCAGAAGCAGCATCTATACGGTCAGGAAGGAAAGGCTTGCCATACTATTTTTTTTTTTAATAAACTTAGCACAAACTTATAAACACATTATTCTGAAATGGGAATGTATTAATCTGTTTATAGCAGACATAATTTGAAAATATTTCTTAGCTGATAAAAATGCATTTAACTGATAGTTGATGTATCTATATATCCACACAGTATAATGATTAAAGGAGAAATTTCAATGATATAAGAAAAGTTCTGATGCATTCATGTTGTCAGTCAAAATTTAAGTTTGAGATACAGTGGGATACATAATCAAAAGTGTAGGATACCATTGCTACCCTCAGGACCAGCTTCCAAGCAAAATCATGTTTAAGCAAAGTTCCCCTTGACCACCCGTGTTTGCATTCAGACTCCTTTTTCTGTGTTTTGGGGGCCAGTCTCTGACTCATGCCTCTGTTCTCAGATACCCGTTAGGAGAGAACTTGCCTCAGGATCTCTCACCCATC